AAGCACAAAAGCCCCTGACGCTGGAGAGCTGCTGAATGCATCCTGGAACACCCTTCTCGTGTCAGGATGATCTCAGCGATGCTGAGGGATCAAGCAAGGCTTGAACGTTGCGGGTCTCTAACAGCAAAGATTTATTTCTTGCCCGGACTGCCTGCAAACTGTAGATTAGACAGGGGATTCATCCTGTATCTCCCGACTCTGGGAGCCCAGCACATGGGGCGATTGCATCCTAAACACTGTAGTGTCAGAGGGGCAAACATACCTCTAGAGGAGCTGAATAATGCTCTAAATTACCTTCTTGTTCCAGTATGTATTCCTAATCCTCGTGGGCAGACTGATTTTTCCAAAATCACACTTTTGTTAGACAGTTGCTGCTCAAGTTAATGCTATGTAACAAACAGCCCCAAACTCAGGGATTTGCACTGACAAACATGTGTTTGTCACTCACAGGTCTCTGGGTTGGTGGTGGTTTTGCTGGGCTCACCTAGGGTAGCCTACACTTGACTTCACACTTGTATTGAATTCAGATTGATCTCATGTATTAATAGCTCCTTCTTTTGCGATCAGCTGCTACCTGGTGTATGTTCTTCTCATGATTATGGAGAGACGTGCAAATAACCCAGCCCACAAAATAAAGCCTATGGCACTAACTCGGGCATTTGAAATGCTCTGCATTCTTACCTTTTCACCTTTCCCCCATTGTTTTCTCCTGTGCTTCCTTATTCAAGTCAAATAGATTTCTGTCCCTGACATCCCTGATCCACTTGTGGCCACATGTCTGTGTTCTGTTGTTTGCACTCGTCCATCGAGGTAAGTCGTACACTTCTTCCATACCCCAGATAAACCCCAAGATATCCTCTTATGCATTTAGTCTTCTGAACTGTTACCGTAGCATCTATTTGAACTGTTTATTTGGGGATTAGCAATTGTAATCTTGGATGGACTGCCTCCCTTTTTTTAATCCCATGTAGAAACCATAACTTTGAAGCATACAGCATAACTTGACCACTTGGAATTGAAATTCTTGGCTTTACTTTAGGGCAGTACCCACAGGCATGCAAGCCAGTAATCATTTTCATTTCCTTGAGATAGGAACTTTGACTGGTAACAGGATCCCTTTCGTGTTAGCCACGGACATTTGGGGACCCGGGTAATTGAAATACAGCAGTCAAGCTGCAATCCTGCTGATATAATCTTTGGAGATTTAATGGATCTCAAGATATTTGGCTGAGCACAGATCTCTCTCTCAAAATGAAATAGATGAATGAGACTAATGAAAGAAAGATAAAAAATCTTTTTCCACTACAGTATTTTATGCTATAGTTACTTCCCAAAACTCAGCCATAAAAGGGGTTTTTGGAAAATATTAGGCTATTTCTGCTACCTTTATCCCAAATTTGAAAATGTTTACTTGCAAAAGTCCTTTCCATTTTGTACCATAAGCGCACAGTGTCTAGAACAATTAGCTCCACATTTTAGTTTTGGGAAACCACCTCTGTGTCCAGGATCAATTGGTCAGGGTTCAGATACTGAAATTAAATCATTTAGACAGAGCCACCACTGGCAAGGAAACAGTTTAACACAAAGAGAATTCAGGTTCCCTTAGGATGGCTGTCATTGATAAGGAAGAAAATGCCCCTAAATTTTGTTGTGTTTGTTTAACCTCAAAGAGGTTTATACTAGTCACAGTTCTCCAGGGAAACAGAGCCAATAGTAGGATTGATGAATCTATAGATAAATGCGTAGAGGCTTCCCTGGTGGTTCACCAGTAAAGAATCCGCCTGCCAATGCAGGAGATGCGGGTTCGATCCCTGAGTCAGGAAGATTCCTTGGAGGAGGAAATGACAGCCCACTCCAGTATTCTTACCTGGGAAATCCTATGGATAGGAGAGCTTGGAGAGCTACAGTGCGTGAGGTCGCAAAAGAATCGGACACAACTCAGTGACTCAACAGTAACAATAACGATACCTGGAGAGATTTATCTGAAGGAATTGGCTCACACATTTGTGGGGGCCAGCAAGTTCGAGATCTGTAGGTCAGCAGGCTGGAGAGCCAGGGCTGCCAGCCTGGAGGCAGAATTCCTTCCACTTTCAGAACTTCAGTCTTTTCCCTTAAGTCCTTCATCTCATTGGACAAGTCTCTCCACATGAAGGAGGAGAAATACTTTATTCCAAGGTGACGGATTTAAATGTCAATTCCACCTGAAAAGTACCTTCGCAGCAACCTCAAGGATTGTGTTTGACCGNAGTCCTTCATCTCATTGGACAAGTCTCTCCACATGAAGGAGGAGAAATACTTTATTCCAAGGTGACGGATTTAAATGTCAATTCCACCTGAAAAGTACCTTCGCAGCAACCTCAAGGATTGTGTTTGACCGAGTGACTGAGCGGGGCAGCCAGGTGGACACTCTGGATGGACTTCAATCCAGGACTCCTGACCTTTACGGCAAGTTCAGAGTGAGGCACCCAGCACTGGCTGAAGCCACTTCCAAAAAAGGAGGGAGTGTGTTTAGCTAGGATCGCCTTGCACTAGCATGTGAGCCATTGTGGACACCAACTGGAAATGCCTTCTTAGAGAAGTCCTTCTCAGGCCCCAGGTATTCGGGAGAGCCATTCGCCTTACCCGTCTTAACCTTTAACAAACTGTTTTCAGAATACATGTCCTGGCTCTATTAGCTAATTTCTTCCCTTATTTTCTTTTTTACTGGAGTGTACTTGTTTTACAATGTTGCGTTAGTTTCTGTCACACAGCACAGTGAATACACAAGTATCCGGGGTTTTTGGATTTCCTTCCCATCCAGGTCACCAACAGTGAGCCCAGTTCCCTGTGCTATACAGTCGGTTCTCACTATTCATCTGTTTCATACATTGTATCAGGTGGATACAGGTCAAACTCAATCTCCTGATTCATCCTCCCACCCCCATTCCCTCCTTGGTACCCTGTCCTTTTTTATCCATCCTGACCATCTCCTTCATTATTTCCAGTAATCACATTTTCCTAAGGTATTTCTAAATTGATTACAGACAGGGTTTATATTTTTCACCATTTTTATACAGCTCATGAAATGAGGAGAGTGCTGATTACTGAGAATCAGGTTGTTTCACCCATTAAAGATCGACCTTGGTTTGCACAACTGGAGTTCTGAAAGGCTGTCTACTCAAGGGGCTTTGAGGAGGAGACACGTGTACTAAGTGAGGTTTGCAAACGGGACTTCTGTAGTTAACTCGAGTTACGTGGTAAACTTAAGGTAATTTGATAAATCATTTACAATATTAATACTGAAATTATAAGATTATTTTAGGTAAAATTAAGGGTTTTGATTAAATGCTAATTTAAAGAAGTGACTATTTTATTTCAAATAGATGATCAACAATAGCCTTTTCCCAGAAGCACGCATAGGAAAGCAGGACACGTGCTCTGTAGGGTCATCACCGAGCAAAGACTGTTACTGAAGTAGGTTCATTTTTGCCCCATACACACAGCAAGCCCAAACTCCAAGAATCCCGGGTTTATTGCACCCAAGCGGCGAGACGGAAGGACAGATCGTAAATCCATCTTGCCCCAAGCAAGGACTGGTACCCGCTGGGGCTTGGGGGGTGGTTACTGATGAGAGAAGGAATAAAGAGGAAAGGTGGCCTGAGGCGCGGCCGAGGGGGAACGTGTCAGCCTCAGTCCTGTCTGACTCTTTGCGACCCCATGGACTGTAGCCCGCCAGGCTCCTCTGTGGGTGGAAGTTTCCAGGCAAGAATACTGGAGTGGGTGCCATTCCCTTCTCCAGGGCATCTTCCTGACCCAGGGATCGAAACCGCGTCTCCTGAACTGCAGGCGGTTTCTTTACCATCTGAGCCTCCAGGGAAGCGGTGACTGGAAAAAAGTGTGCTCAACATGGTTCCGCGCGGGCATCATCCAGCAGCACCGCACCCGCCCGAGCGCGCCGACCAGCGCGTGCCCCCGTCGGCGCGTCAGCGGTCCTGTCCGGGGTGAACCGGCTCAGACCGGACTCCATGCAGCCGACGCCGCGTTCCTGGAAAAGCACTCAGGCCCACATCTCACTGTTTAGGCTTCGTGCTCCCGCTTGGAGGGCGTGTGAAACTTAAAACTGCCTTGGTGAGTGAAGGCAGGTGAAATGGACTTGACCCAGGGTTTGCGGTTATAAGCAGAAGTATTTTATGTTATTTTAAAACTCTCTCTTTTCAGAGTTGTTTGTCTATCTGTACCTTTTCCTTTCTCCAAGATCTTGAACGCCTGATTACTTTGCATGAGTCTAACCTAAAAAGTCCAAATGTGTATAAGAGCTCATGTGCTCAGACGCTTAGCCGTGTCTGACCCTCTGCGACCCCATGGACTGTAGCGCGCCAGGCTCCTCCCTCCATGGGAGTCTCCAGGCAAGAAGACTGGAGTGGGTTTCCGTTTCCTCCTCCAGGCGCTCTTCCTGGCCCAGGAATCAAACCTGCACATCCTGCATTGGCAGGTGGATTCTTTACCACTAGTGCCACTTAGGACGCCCACAATATTTCTTATCCATGTATTTTTCTTAAATCGACTTAGCTATGACTCTGAACCTCTTTTTGGCCCTTGCCTGAGGAAAGGTAGATTTCAGTAGTTATTGGGGTGCTTCCTTGTCTTCATTGTTCTCCTTGTCCTGCTCCTCTCAGCTACCCACAGTCACTGGCATTGAGTAAATGTTCCAAGGTCACAAAGAGCATCCTGTTGATACAGGGAAGTGAAGGGGACATTTTCCCCCTCATCCAGTTGATCTCTCCTGTCCTGGGCTTTCTGGTCCCTTCAGAGCTTGTTCTTGGCTACTTGTGTACCCCGTGGGGCATCTCTGTCAAGGGTGAGAGCCTGTCATCTGGAGTCTAACATGCCTGAAGGACTTGTGCCCAGTCCCCCTGAGGTCCTGCTTCCTGACCAGCAGTCACCACGCCCAGCCGAGCTGCTGACTGAGAAGTGAACCCTTACTCAGTTTGAGTGAATTCCCCTTCTCTCTGCTTAATCAGACAGCTTCCTGTCTGTTCCCACCTGATGAAGAACCTCTAGCATCATCTCATCAAGGATTCCAGGCTGGACAAAATCAAGAACCAGGTAGGAGATAATCTGCTAGTAAGAAAGTTTGAAGCAGGTCAAGCTTCTTTGCTGGCAGGGAGAAGACACCGTGGGGTGACGGAAATTGACGTTAGTGTGTCTTGAGGCATGTGCTGCGGGCGCTGGTTCATCCTGGTTATTTCTGCTTTGTTTTCCCTGCTAGACTGAAAATTCCTTCAGATCAGTGTTTCACTCCTAAAGCTGTGTACTAGTGCTTTCAGGGCTATAGCAAAAATTAGACTGGGTAGCTTATAAACAACAGAGATGATTGCTCAGAGTTCTGGAGTCTGGAAGTCTGCGATCAGGTGCCAGCCTGGTGTGGTCCATCTTCTCACACGACGGCGGGCGTAGGAGCTCGGTGGGGTCTCTTGTAAGTGTGATTCCATGGATGGGGCTCCACTCTTATGACCTCATAACCCCCCACAGGCTCCACCACCTAATCCCATCACGTAGGGTATTAGGATTCCAACACGTGAATTCTGCAGGGACGTGAACATTCAGACAGATTTATTGTTGTTCAGTTGCTCAGTCATGACCGACTCTCTGTGACCCCATGCACTGCAGCACGCCAGGCTTCCCTGTCCTTCACTGTCTCCCAGAGCTTGCCCAGGTTCATGTCCATTGAGTCGGTGATGCCATCCAACCATCTCAACGTCTGCTGTCCCCTTCTCCTCATGACCTTAATCTTTCCCAGCATTGGGGAATTTTCCAGTGAGTTGGATCTTTACATCAGGTGGCCAGAGTATTGGAGCTTCAGCTTCAGCATCAGTCCTTCCAATGGCTGGTTTGATCTCCTTGTAGTCCAAGGGACTCTCAAGGGTCTTCTCCAGCACCACAGTTTGAAAGCATCAGTTATTCAGCACTCAACCTTTAGTGTTCCATAAACATAGTTATATTTCAGTATCAAAAAATGTTATTGAATGACTGAATACAAGAGAGAAACAAATACAGTTAAAGAGAATAATTTAGAATGTAGCCATCACTGGCCAACACTATCACTTACAGAACTTTTGCTGATTTTCCTTCTGGGACCTCAAGTCTAGGGAGTCCAGTTCAATACACCTTTGGGTGCAATCTGTATTTAAAGAACACCCAAGAGATTTCTAGTTGAAGAACCGCTGATAAAAATTAGTAATTTCATTTTAAGGATGAAAAAAATGAAGTTCAGAAAGGTTAAGTGACTTTGCAAAGATATACCTCGTGACAGGAAAAAGGGACCTCAGTTTCATTTGTATGTTGTCTTTTTATAAATACATTCTTTGTAATAAAAACAATACATATTTATGCTAAATGTTCTAACAATATGTAGAAGTGTGTAGTACAAGTAGCTTTCCACCTCTGTTTCTCAGATTCCCATTTCTATCTCCCCAGAGAGAATCACAAATCAGCTTTCCTACTAATCCTTTCAGACATTATATATATATATATAATTATAAAAATAATCATATGCAAAAATGCATCACCATCACACGTGATACTGTAGTATACATACTCATGTAATTTGTTGTTTTTTCCCTCTCCAAATCTTTTTATATCAAATCTTTTTATATCAGTGTTTATGCATGATACCTGTGATTTATGCATACCTTTATATTTGCATATAAAATGTCTGAAAAGCATACCTAGGGAATGCAATTTGTGATTAGCTCTGGGGAATAAAAACAGGACTCTGAGAGATAAAGGTGTGAAATTGCTTTTCACCATATGCCTTTATACACTGTTTGAATTTTTAGCATAAATGTGTATATTCTTTAGAGCAAAAACAATGTCCTGTATTTATGAAAAGACATGCAAGCTGAACCAGGACCCTTTCTCATCCTTGTCACTAGATGTGTCTTTTCAAATTAGCATCTATACATCCACTTAATTTCTTAAATAACTTCCCTTTTTAAGGATGAAAGCATTTGGCGAAGTGACTATCTATTCTATAATGGCTATTTTTCAAATATATAATGATTTTCAAATACAGGTTTGCTTATTTTGTTAAGAATAGAAATGTCTGCCTGTCATGTCGGGAGGACCGGGTCTCGTGTCAGGGGCATCAGCAAGGGGTGGACTGTGATCCTGGGCTTCCCTGGTAGCTCAAGTGGTAAAAAAAATCTGCCTGCTGATGCAGTAGATGTAGGTTCAATCCCTATAGGAGGTAATAGCAACCTGCTCCAGTATTCTTGCCTGGAGAATCCCAGGGACAGAGGAGCCCGGCCGGTTACAGTCCATGGGGTCACAAAGGGCTGGACATGGTGGAAGTGACTAAGCATGCATGGACTATGATTCTGGAAAGAAAGGGGTGAAGATGTTACTGTTGGAACACTGTCATGGATAAAGCCTCATACTATACTCACTAAATAAATTTAGTAAAATTTATTCTACTAAAGAAAAAACAGGATGTGCTTACCAATTTTATAAAGGGAGGAGGCAAGCTAGAAAATTGAGAAGCTGGTAAATATGGGCTTTTGACATTTGGGGGAAAGATTCACGTTAAAAGTAGTTGAGCAAAAAATGAAAGTCAAAAGCTTCTCTGAACTTTATTCCATGTTAATTTTGACCAGAAAGGATCTAGTGATGTAATAGTAATAGGACTATGAAGGAAAATAGTCACATTATGAAGTTCATAGCAACAATGAAAGAGAAATCTGGCAACAGGTTTAACAGTTGTTGGCTTATTAAAATGTGCACTTTTGCACATTTGAAATATTATACTTTCCAAACTCCTATTTATATGTATTTAAGCTTCGGGCATTCAGACAGCAGTCCTGGCTTAAATGTGCTGTATTAATTGGTTCCAAAGATCCTTTCTTAAATTTTTTTCTTCATTTTTATAATTTTTTTTTAAAACATAAGCTTGTTTTGATGTTTTTATTGTGGTAAAATGTGCATAACAAAACTCATTATTTTGTTCATTTTAAGTGTGCAATTTAGAGGCATTAAGTCCAGTGACGTTTTTGGCTAACCATTCACTACGATCAGTTTTCAGGATTTGTTCTCATCCTGAATAGAAACTCTGTACCCACAGAGCAGTAACTCTCCATTTATCCTGCCCCANTTTGTTCATTTTAAGTGTGCAATTTAGAGGCATTAAGTCCAGTGACGTTTTTGGCTAACCATTCACTACGATCAGTTTTCAGGATTTGTTCTCATCCTGAATAGAAACTCTGTACCCACAGAGCAGTAACTCTCCATTTATCCTGCCCCAGCCTCTGGTAACACCTACATTTGGTCTCTGTGAAGTTGCCTATTCCAAATACTTGTTAGAAATGTAGACATAAAATATGTGTCTTTTTGTATCTGGTCTATTTCACTTAGCATAATGTTTTGCAGATTCCCCCATGTTGTAGCATGGATTAAAATTTCATTCCTTTTTGCAGCTGAGTAATATTCCATTGTATGCATACACCACATTTAAAAAGTCCGTTCATTCGTTGACACTTGGGTTGATGTACAGGTATCCGTTAGAGTCTCTCATTTCAATTCTTTTGGGTCTGACCTCACAAGTGAAGTTGCTGAATCACATGCAAATTCTGTTTACCTTCTTGAGCTAACCCAGAAGCGTTCTGTTTACTACGGTCCTTGCACTTTCTCACTCCACTAGGAGTGCATGCGGGCTCCACTTGTCCCACATCCTCACATGCATTTACTATTTCCATCCATCCTCCTCCCTCTTTTTTTAAGCTTTTTTCCCCCCTGTGGACCACTTTTTAAAGGTCTTTATTGAATTTATTACACTACTGTTTCCATTTTATGTTTCAGTGTTTTGGCTGCGAGGCATGCAGGATCTTACCTGCCCCATCAGGGGTTGAACCCACACCACCTGCATTGGAAGCGTGGGGTTTTAACCACTGGACAACCAGGGAAGTCCTGCTGCTCCCCCACTTTTGATCATAGCCATCTGTGGGGATGTGTCTCACCTTCCATCTGCGTTTCCCCAGTGACTAAAGGTGTTGAGGGCTTCCCAGGCGGCTCAGTTGGTAAAGAATCCGCCTGCAATGCAGGAGACCCCGGTTCGATTCCTGGGTCGGGAAGATCCACTGGAGAAGGGAGAGGCTGCCCACTGCAGTGTTCTTGGGCTTCCCTGGTGGCTCAGCTGGCAAAGAAAGATGTTGAGCATCTTTTCATGTGCGTATTGGCTGTTGTAGATCTTTGGAGAGATGCCTGCTCAAGTCCTTAGCTTAGGAGATGTCTTGGTTGTTATTGCTGTTTCTGTGGAATTGTCCAGGGTTGGCCTTTTTCCTGTTCAGGCTTCTGTGGCCCGGGCATCCCGACAGGGAGAGGAGACTTCTGGTCTTTAGGTTGTTAGAGAGTGGAGGGCGGGCTAGGGAAACCTTTCTGGGCTGTGTTCCTCTGCCGTCTCCCGGCTTATACTGTGTGTGGGGTCCTGGTTCCCTTCCAACCAGCGACAGCATCCTGGGTGCTCAGGGCACCGTGGATGTGCTCGGGGAGTAGCCCCACCCCAGGCAGGCTCATCCAGTGACTGCTGGGGGTTAGCAGGTAAGGAATCACCCGGGATGCAATGACTTGGAGACATGCATTCTGCCCTGGACCCTAGAGCTCCCCAGCGGGGATCAGGGTGTTTACTCTCAAAGGTAACTAGCTTCATGATAATTCTTTTTTGTTAAATTTATTTTTTTTTACTGGAGAATATTTGCTTTGCAATGTTGTGTTAGTTTCTGCTGCATAACAACATGAACCAGGCACGTGGATGCATACATCTCCTTCCTTTCCGTCCCCCTCTCACCCCCCATCCCAGCCCTCTAGGTCATCACAGAGCACCAAGCCTAGCTCCCTGTGTTGTAGAGAAGCTTCCAACTAACTCTCTATTTCACACATGGTAATGCATATTTTGTTTTTCAGTCACTCAGTCATCTCCAATTCTTTGCAACGCCATGGACTGCAGCACGCCTGGCTTCCCTGCGCTCCACTATCTCCTGGAGCTTGCTCAAACTCATGTCCATTGAGTCGGTGACGTCATCCAACTGTGTCATCCTCTGTCGGCCCCTTCTTCT